AAAGCACTCCATGTCTTTTGGCTGAGGCCTACATTCACTTCAAGACCTTGGTCTTGGTATACAAACAAAACTGGCACAAAACACCGGCATCACCCAGACCTTCATGAAGCTATAAACTGCTAAAGGTCATGTCAGGCCTCACACCGGCCTTTCAAAGCACGACGTGTTTCTTTAGACTTATAACCTCCATGAATATGGTGTAACCGAAGTCCTCTAACACACTAGCCCACACAATCCCTCCCACTGTTCGAGGAAATCTTGAATGCACCCAATTTGATTCCTGTTGCTCTAAACAGTTGTATTTTACGGTAGTATACACACATTAATGACTGTGATATATTATTAATGGTACTGCCTTCCTACCTGCTCGAAGGAATGCAGCCATTCTCTCTCTTTGCAGCTACTTTTAACGCCCAGTGCCAAAAAGAGACCCAACGCAGTGAAAGATTACGGCAGTTCTAAATGCAGACTTCTTGCACATCTTGAAACTAACCGAAAACCACCAAACCCACACTGGGGTCAGTAGCCCCTTCAACTCACTCACTGCCAGCATTAAAACTGACCCCAATAAGATGTCATGAAAGAAAAAAAAAGGTAATTGTATGATCTCATTCTCAGAAATCCATACAGGGCCTGTGAGGGCATACAGTCGGCTGACAGAGAGGGGTTTTGAGTCGCTTTCATGTACACACTGAGCTTTATTTTATTCCGTTCATGTTTGGTGTGACAGCTGTGCAGAATTTCACTGTGGCGAAGCAGCAGTGAATAGCAGCCTTGTAAGCTTATGGATACCAGCCACACAGCTACTGGCTGCACACTAGAAGCTAATTGGCTCTCCCCTCAATCCAAGCCTGCCATCCATCCCCAATAAGATCTGCTCAATCCACACCGACACGGCACCAGGGATCATCGTATTTGCACAAAACACACACCTCCTGACTTACAGAAATCATTCTCTAACTCATAACACATAGTCAAGTAAATTATAGGCCATCTGCTGAAACTGCCTGACCTTATACCATTGAGCGATTTTCACATGGTATGCGAAAGGCATTAAATATGAAATGACCCATCTCCGAGTGCCAGGCACAAAAACACCATGATTTTGACATACATTTCAATGTTAAAATGATCTCATAGGTAAAAAACTTTATGACTGTCCTTGAGGTTGCTGATTTAATCCAGAAAGTCTTTACACCCTTGTTCAGCCATTCAGAATTCATCCATTCCATCTCAAGTGAGTCATTACACCCTGCAAAAATTAATCACCTTAAAAAAAAGCTCGTTGTCAGGAAACCGGCTAACAGGGAAGAAAGTTCACTCTTATATAAAATTATAACAGCACAATAAATGACGGGTTAGGCAAAAAGCTTTCTTCGTTTTTTAAAAAATGGTTTAGATCACGTCTTGCAAATGTAACTGTAAAATTAAGTAAGTTATTCAAATAATCATATTTTTGTTAGTGAGCTCAGGGGGAAAAAAGAGACTCAGGATGAAAATCTTTGTCTTATTTATTCATGTCAATCTTACACGATTTCACAACAGGAATTTTGCAATGAAGTTCTGTTTACACAATTATTCATTTGCTTACAAAGTAGTGTTTAAACTATATATCCCAGCTGCCACGTTTGTTTCTGTGGTTACTCAGAAAAGCATTTCGGCCATAAAACAAAAAAATATGTTAGCCTACAGACCTTTAATTATGTTTCTTTTTTTTTTTATTATGTTTAAGTAGCTGCCAACAAACTAAACTAGCAGTTGCGCTGAATTAAAGAACTTAAATCACTGTGAGCGTTAAGAAACAAAACCTACAGGAAAGTGGAAATTCCAGAAACAAAAGGCCACCTGATGTTGGCCCTCTGGCATCTTATGAATCATTTCATAAAGTTGTTCAACAGAAATTATCTGCATTGAATTTCCAAAACAAATACAGCGTGTATGTCCTATAATAAATGTAACTTCCTGGCTATCAGGCCAAACTCCTAAGGCTGCTGAAGGAACCCTAAACCATGTGGCTGTGTGTTACTTTCAAAGGCCTTTGTGTGTGTGTGTAAATATAACACACACACACGTTCTCATATTTTTGTGGGGACCATCCATCTATTCATTTCTATGGGCAAAACCCAAAACACACCACAATGACCCAGCCCTACCCTTATCTATAAGTAACCAAACAACATACAAGTCTTTTGCCATTTTCAGTTTTTTGATTGCAGTTATAGATTTTTTATGAAATAAACAACGTCACCTTATTACATTTGGTCCCCACAATGTAACGTATACCTGGACCAAATGTACACACACACATATTTTATATATTATATAAAAATAAAAAAAATGTCATCATTCCCCATAAAAATGGCCTATCAGGTTCTATAGCCAGCATAAAATTCTTACACTATCAAATACTTTGAAATCTTAAGGTTCCTCAGTAGCTATGTCCTAACTTTGTTTAAATCATATCTAGCATTTTGACGCCAGTATAGAACAAGCAAGGGAGAAAGAGAAAGAGAGAGAGAGAGAGAGTGTGAGAGAGAGAGAGAACATTTATGTATATAACCAGCTACGTCCTGCACGAGTCCAGTATTTCGAAACACAAATATCGGATATGATTACGCAGGTTGCACTTTATGTTCTTTGCAATCGCCTGGGGACTCTGAAGCTCGTAACTGTTTCTTTTTTTTTTTTTTGAAGAGTATAAAATGCTGGCTGAAAGGCCTACTGCAGCATAAACAGAATCACAATTTCAAGACCATGCATGATGTCACATGTCACAGCCTCCTAAGGGACAAACTGAAAGAGGAACGCTTCAGCTTATCAGGCTGTCATTCAGCATTCATCCTCAGTTGCCCCTCACTCCCTCCCTTAATATTCTTCCCAGCTCTGCCATCTACTTTCAGACAACACAGGTCATCCTCCCCCTTCGGCCAAACATTTCTGCACAGTGGGGTCCAGGACACTTTCCTACTTCCTGGGAATTGTTGGTCTCTGCTCTCAAAAAGCATATAGACCGCTGTTCTGTCGACAAAAATCACAACAGAGGTTTAAAAGGCCAAGGAGTGGGGTATGTACCACATGCTTGCGATAAAAGAAGACTCGTGGGACGCCTTCGGTGCTTCTGCTCAGGATGTGTGCTTTTTAACTGACCCAAATGCTAGCTGGCAACAGGAAGAAACTCGCTGGGGCCGCAGGTCGATTTGCTATGCAAAGCATGCCCATGTAGCGCCAGGCAAATTGACGAATCTCTTCAAGGGCTTCCTGTACTTATCACTTCCTCAGTCTTAAGCTGGGATACACCAGCACTAAGAATGCAGAGAAAAACACCGTGCGTGAGAGAGAGGTGGCAAGAGTATGGAGAGAGAGACAGGAGGGGCAAACAAGACAGGGAGAGACTCAGAGCAACAGTGATCCTCTTATGATTCAGAGAAAACAGAGCAGCACTGGTGTGGCACAACCAACAATGCTTGATTCTTTTTATTATTAATTCTTAAACTAGTATCTACCCAAACCCTGAGTCTAACCAAGTAAACACACCGTTTGCAGATAATTTCACAGAAATAACCGTGAGCTTTTTTAATACAGTATTTCAGAATTTAAAGCACAATTTGCAATAATTTCCTCATTTAAAAGAAAAACGTTTGGCAATCAATGACTAAAAATCCCAGAATAATGTCTTAGGCAGGGAAAAGTAAATGGAGAATAGAGCTTTGCACGCCATATAAACCTGCAGGGTCTGGATTACATTTCATCATAGGGAAGAGAGAAAAAAAAAGTTATAAAACAAATATCTGGGGAAATTTAGTCAGGTTGTGTTGGGGCCTGTCTGCAGTCTGACACCAAAGAGAAACAGACATGAATGTTACAAAAATATTGATAATAAAACATGAGAGGCACAGAACATCAGTTTTCTGTTGCCTTTTATACGCATTGATAGCAAGCAAGGTGATATTTGGGGCGTTTAGGAAAGAAGTGACAATGCCATTAAAGCGGCTCGCATAGTGGCGAGTCGCCGCCCGAAATGTCGCAGGGTAATAAGTTCAATAATGTGCCAGTTACAGCCAATTTATAAAAGAGTACGATTTCATCTACAAACTTTTCGTATTAAAAAGCGCAACATCTGGATTTCTTAGCGCTGATGGCACATTTTTACTGAGTGTATTTTTAGCAGGAGAATTTGAAATCTACTGGACACCTGGTCAACATCCCAGTTCATCATAACTAGACTCGATTATTCACGTATATATAACAGACTGTATTACTACGACTAACTCAACATCCAAGACTGAATATGTTCTCGACCCTATCATCTCTTTACGTTAATTAACGCTATTGGATTTCTCATCTATTATGCTTGACATAAACGATAAAAGACGAAATGTAAGCGCCTAGGATACACTGTAAAAATGAAGCACTGACAGCCCTAATCTTAGAGACGAGCACAACTTTTCCTAAATGATTTTTATCGGTTTTCTCCCGTCGGGGGGCTTTGATAGAGTCCTTTTGGCAGGCTTGTGTGTCTTCTGACGTGGGGTCTTACCAACGATCTTAAGTGTAGCCCACGTGAAATTAAATCTATCAGACGCACGTAAGACCCCGCCGGGGAAGAGAGGGGCCGCGGCAGCGCGTATCGGGAGCGCGCCTCAAGGATCCCATCCCATCCCAGCATTATACGGTTAAATCCTCAAGGCCAACTCCGCATTCACATTCCTGCACATGCTTTTTTTAAATGTCGCAAATAAAGTTCGTCTATCAAATCAATGTCACGGGGTGGAGGAATAGTGGCAGAAGAAAAGAGCAACGCTGGCAAAAGAGATTTAATAAGCGTGAAATCTTACGCCGATCATTAAAACAGGCGACCTAGAAATGTGCGATTTATCCGTCTCGCAGGTAACTGTTTCTAAAACACACTCCTAATTAATGTAAGAATTTCACGAATGCCATGAATATTTTAAAGCCCCGAGCTGTAACGATCTAGCTTGGCAAAATAAAGGGAAAATTACCGGCTGCGTCTCTCCTCCATAAAAGCGCCACCGTCCACTTCTTGAGGCTGTGATATTTGTCGGGCTGTAAAGTTACAGGCTGCAGGTATGTTCGGCTCAGGCCGCTGCCCCGGCGTCCGCTCGCTCGCTCGCTCGCTCGCCCCCTTTCTCCGGCTGCCTCTCCGGCTGCCTCTCCGCCCGTCCAGGAAGGGAGTGTGTGGCTCGCATGGACGCCGATTGAACTGCACTCTCACTGACATCATTCAGTCGGAGTTTTTAAAGACACAGACGAATCGTTTCAAGTAAAAGCGCCCATGCGCACCGAGTCGTTATAACTGCGGATATATGCAGGGCTTTTCCACAATATTACAACAGACGTAACTTAAAACTATACTCTCAGGATGTGGTCTGTCCACGCAAGTCATATATAAATTAGAACATGGATTTTCATGGAAATATAAATATTTATATTTATTGTAATTGTGTTTACCGTGCAGAAACTTCATACATAGGTATAATTTAGCAGGCCGTTCAGATTTGGTCTTTTTTTGTTTCTTTATTTTTATCGAAGTATGTTCTTTTAAAAATAAGTGTAAAAGAAAATGCTTTATAGGCATCGCCACTTTGCTTTAGATTTGGAAAAACCCCATGAATACGTTTCAGACGGCTGTGATTAAGCGACCTTGTAGGAAAGGATAGGGTAGTTAACACTATATTTCCGAGCAGTTGTTTCTACACTGTCTCATTGAGAAGAGCTGTAGGTTGTTTTGGCTCCTGGTAAGGATACCCCCAGTGAGACTCTCCTTGGTGGTAATTCAGGCATGCCCCACTGGGCGGAGATGATGATGTGGGCTACCCAGAACTAGAGATTGCATTTCTTGACTGGGAGCACCTAGAAATATCAAAGGAGAGGCGGAACGTGTTATGGAAAAGGGTTTGATAGTTTCCACCTGACGTGTTCTCAACTATGAGCTCTCAGCTACATTACAGGAATAGAAAATTGACAGATGGGTGGATTTTGATGTAACTTATCATGTCAAATTACTACACATAACAATTTAGTGCCTATGTGCTCCCAAGCAATTAAAATAAAATTGTTTTTAGGGACACGTATCACTGGAAACACCTGATATGGAAGCAACGATTTGACACAAATTGATGCAAATATAGTACAATAGGTGATGGTATACATAGGGAAGGTTTCACTCTGCATGTGGCTATTCTCTTGTCCTCCACACAGGCCCTGTTTAAATAAACATGCCCTAGGCTACTTGAATTTGGTCCTAGGTGTACCCCCCCCCCCCCC